GAAACGGAGCTTGGGTACGCATGGGTGGCAAAAAAGAAGACTGCACTGGAAGGAAACAGTGTTTTTCGAAAGCAGTTCCATTTTGCATACTGTAGTTTGAGAATACCAAAGGGCTGCTCGCGATCGGATGTGTCCCACACCTGGATCGTCTTTGAGTTGTTATCGTTTTCCCTACGATGAAGAACGACGGAACCAGTGGATGACGGACACACGACTCGAGAACTTCGCTCCTTATGCAAATACTTCGAAGTACACGAATATTGTTCCACCACTTCGTTGGCGAAGAGAAAAGTCATGATCATCCCTGTCACCCAGTACGTATCGAATTAACTAACTAACTTGTTCAGCTCATTTGTGGCAGCACCAGTAAAGGCGGAAACACGAAGATGATTCCGAACACTATCAACTTACTTAGTTTGTTTGGGGTGCAAGGTATAGCTGGAGTTTGATGATTGATAGTGCTGATGCTGATGGTAATGACTAATGTACCCAGCTCTATTATGCACGTGCGGCGTGCCTCTACATGACTGGTGGTGCTAGCTATAGTCTAGTACTGGCCCTGGGTGCAACTCATCATCTCTTCCATGCGAGTGTGTATGCTTCATGTTCTGCACAATGTGTATTTCCTTTGTCATGGATAAATACTCTGATCGACCTACTTGCGCAATCTTCTTCTGCTTCCCACTTGGTTGCTGCGCTGTGCAGTTCTTCATCTGCTGCGGCACATACTGGTATACCTCATCTTCTGTCTTTCTGGACAATTAGGTACATGTATTCAGCTTCTTGATATTCTTGTGGTGAGGATCATCTTGATCTTCTTGTGTAACTCTTGCAAAGGCAGTAATGGAGGACACTCTACCGGTAATCAGCAACTGCTTATGGAGAATGCCAGGTCGAGCGACGACCAGGAAAAAACAATTTCTGTATTGGATGTGCATTCATGAGCGTGTTTTAAGATCAGGACAACTAAGTTTGCCACTACACCAGCTTTTTTGGCTACATAGGAGCAATGATGATGATGGCCGTGTTTGACTTTGTCAGCTTTCGTGCTACCAGCCACCACATGTCAACATTGTCATACTCGTACTGATAAGGAAGAAAAACCCACACATGCACGCACACGTACACACACACACACACACACACATGGATACACTGACAGGCATGCGAAGCAAGAGAGACAGAGAGTCAGGCAGCGAAAGAGAAGTGAGACTACTTGTAGGTTATGGGCACGGTGCTCCAATTTCTGCCCAGCTGAAGTAAAATCCATGTACACTATTTTCGGTGCCAGCCACTGGTGACCCAGTGGTGTAGGTGTTGACATTCAGCACACATCACATTTCAGTCTCCAGCGTGAATTCAGTCAAAACAACACTGAACTGCAGCAACATGGGAACATGCTTCTCCCAGGCCCGCCATGCAAGTGCAGTGTGCGCCAAGAATAATTCCAGGTAATTCAGCAGCTACCCAAGGATGGACAGGTTCGGCAAAAACACTCCGCGAGTGCCTGACGTTTGCAAACGTATTTTGTTAACAGTTGTTGTTTCTTCCTTCGATTGGGCAAGACACGATAATGTGCCAACCCAGCCAGCAATGAGACACATGCATTTGTATCCATCAGGGCTATTGTAAGCCTTTAGAGAGTCCTTTGCATATGTGCTGGGGACATTCACTAAATATTTAGAGAGGCCTGGATACCCAACGCAGGGGGATTGGCTGAAAGGTCTTCGTCCATAGGTAAATATGGATCAATGTACTGGGCCCACGGATTCTGTCAATCTTCTCGCGGCAACGCCTCTTCAAGGCTGGAATAAACAGTAGAGTAACTGCGGCTAGTAATCCTCGCGACTTACCGAAAGTATTCACCACATCAAAGAAAAGCAAAAGTGCTTCACCACTGCGACGGCCTGCAACATCATTTTGAACCGTACACCGAACAACACATTTCATCCTCTTTTTGCCACCCAAGCACATTTTTACCGTAGGGCACGGACTTGTCTTATGGGTGATCTTTGGGTGGACACCGGGAAGGCGCCAAAAAGGTGATGTAATGGAAAGTCCTCTATAGACACGTCAGTTTTACGTAGCTATCAAGAGTAGGTTTGTGTACTCTTGGTAGTATCAGGCGCAGGCGGGTTCATCAACATCGTCTTCCTCCCCCGGCACCGAAGGACTTTCATTGCGCATGCGGCAGAGCGTTTAGGAGAAGTGGCGATTTGAAGCGTCACATCAAGTACTGCCCAACTCAGTAGCCTATCATCTCCACTGGAGATGGGGCGTCAAAGGTCAAAGGTCAAAGGTAGTATCAAGAGTACATAACCCCAGGGTTATGTACTCTTGATACTAGACACGTCAGTTTTACGTAGCAGTCACATTGCCCGCCGTGCGAAACCTCTCTAGTGTAATTATTGTGGAAACTACTTATCACCATCTACAATGCACCAGTGCCAGTGGCAGTGCTGCGCATCCTATGTGAGTATGTCATCTTGCATCATGACTACGTACATTCATTGAACTACGAAGTAAAAAAAGAAAATAAGCCGCTACATGTAATCATCATGATCATGGTAATGAGTCTATGTACAGTGAAACCTGTGACTAACGACCACCCCTTGGGGCCAGAGAAAGCGGTCTTTAGTGGCAGATGGTCCTTAGTTAGAGGTTTGCAACGCACAATCGTATGTGGATGTGAGACCGTCCGTGCCTGGCGAAGTGGTCTTTAGTAACAGGCTGGTCGCTAGTCACGGTGGTCTTAGTTACAGGTTTTACTGAGTCTGTATGTCGTGTGCGCACTGAGCACCCGGCCGGCCGGCCGCGGCCGGGGCCGTTACCTGAGTTCAGTAGTTGCTATGACGCATGTAGGTGTGCAAGTCACCAGGGCAACAACGCAAGCCTAGTCTCGGTCACTGGGTCAGTCAGTCAGTGCAGTTCTGTGGCTACAGTCATGTAGATCTAGCTGTTGACTTTGATCTTGTTCTGAATCTGCTGATACTAGTGACATGACACTTGACAGGCGCGTTGGTCTTCGACTTCGAGTTTTTGAATGTTTTTCTCTGAAGTACGTCTTTGAAAGTAACTAATACTTTGAGTTACAATCGTTTTGAGCTCTGTTGCAGTGTTCGCTTGCCAGAGAGCACAGTGGTTGGTTGATGGAGACTTTCCATCTCCTAGCCTCAGCCTGAGTAGTTGGGCGATCCAAACGCCAGCTCTAGCAACACGGCTCGAAAACTACAGCAAAATAGAATTCGTCATTCCGATATGTTCCACATCCCTTGTTGCTAGGATTGAACCATAGGCATTCCCCAAGTTCATTGCGATCGTGAGGCGGTATCTAGACTAGAGAGTTCAGTACATCCATTCAGTATGGAAGCTAGCCGCAGTCGCAGCTCTGCCGCAGTGGCGGGGCAGCAGCAACAAGGGACGGCAACAGCAGCGGGGCTGACGAGCAAACATGCCACTGGTCCTGTACTGCGAACCGTGGACCTCTCAGGCCAGAGACGGCAGGCTGCAAGAATCAAGGTCAGAACATTCTCTCCTACCTAGGCTATACGGTAATCATGTACCGTATTTTCCGGGGTATAAGCCGCACCGGGGTATAAGCCGCACCCCCCCTTTTTGAGGCAAAATATTGACTAAAAGTTGGTATTCGGAGTATAAGCCGCACCCACAAACCAAGATTTTTCACACTCATTGACAAATGGCCTTTCTACAAATTTACTAAGTTATGGTTATGGAGCTAAATACCAGGTTAGATCAGATTATGAAGTGTTAGTGCACCACAGGTTGCTGCAGAGATGTTGGTGTATTGCTGTGTTGACTACAGATCACTCCATGTCATCTGAACTATCTTCAGTCTCTCTGCCACTGATGCACTAAAACTAGTAAAAGTGCCAGGATAGCAACACAGGCGCGAAGCTGAGTCGAATGACATGTCACATGACGTCAGCATGCATACTGATGTATGCTAAGCATTCATTCGCGCAAGCATATTCGGTGTATAAGGCGCAGGGGCGATTTTTTTTTCTCCGATTTTTAGCAAAAAAAAAGTGCGGTTTATACCCCGGAAAATACGGTAGTTTAAAATTTAGGGTCCCAAATTATTTCGCACTTTCCCAGTGTTCTGTGTACTTGAGAGCGTGTCAACCCCAGAAATTTGCAAATCGAGATCAAAAACACAGTAGCTGTTGACATGGACTTTTTTTCATCAGAACCGATCAGACAGGGTACTGCTGATGAATGCTGCGGAGCAGGGAGCCGAAGGTGTTTCGTTCCTCTCGAACTCTTTGCCTCCACACGAACTCGCAGAGGTATGTGGGAAACAACTCTCGAGACGTGCCGAAGTTGCGTTTGAGCTGGCGATTCGCACGCATTCACATATCCTCGACATTGTTGGTATGGATGGTTCGATCATCGGGATTCCCAAAGTGGTCGTCATGTACGATTGCATCGTGGAGGTATATACCGTCGCCGATGTTTCCAAGTTGGCCGTACGTGACCCAGCCATCCGAGATTATTCTAGTTCCAGGCAGAATCCACTCGGTTAAGAGAGCTACTAGAGTGGCAGCAATCCTGTCCGGAACTTCCTGTACAAACAATATATACATGACAAGAAACACAAACTTCTTCAGAACGAAATATAAGTAAGCCAAAAGTTATCCAAAAGTAATCCAAGGCAATAATGCTACTTACCTTGATCATACATCGGTCAGAGTTTCGCTCGATGGCCCCGAACACCCAGTGTCCTTCATGCCACGTGCCGGGGTGATACTTGCGATGGAAGTACTTGCTTTCATTGATCTCGACGATGACGGGTTCTCCATTGTCGTCCACGCCGCCGAACTGCGGGGGATTGTTGACGATATCCTGGATGGCGAGGTCACGGTGAAAGCTGTACCAGTCGACAACAGTGCGGCTGGACAAGCCAAGCTCTCGCATAACGACATCTTGCGGCGTATCCTGAGCCCACCAGTACGAAAGGAAAACGGGCTCGCGGAAGGACAGATGGCTTCCCTCGAAGAAGGAACCACTGCGAACGCTCTTGACGTAGTGGCAAGCCATTGATTTGGTTAGCAAGATAAGTTGGTCCGTTGCAGACTTGTTGCTTACATATGCGAATTGGCCTTTACAAATTACATCATGGGTCATCAAGTATCGAAGGATGCGTTCCGAGAGAATCTTTTCCATCAGTTTTGCTATGCATGGGAGGAGGGATATAGGCCTGTATTCGGTAGGCTCTTTGGCGCAACCTCTATTCTTGTACATCGGTATTACGGTGGATTATGTCCAGGAGGACGGGAACACACCATCATCGAGGCTGTAGTTGAACAAGACTGATAGTGATTGGGAGAGGATGTCTGCGAATTGATTTAGTATACGATTTGTCAGGTTGATGTCTGATGAGATTTATGTTGTTGCAGCCTCCTTGCTGCATAGAACACTTCAATAGGGCTTATCTTTCCGAATCCAAATTTGTTTCCATCGACGTCGGCCTCATTGATTGTCACACCAGTTGCACAATCATGAAAGTAAAAAATTGATGAGTAAATTTTGGATTTATAGAAAAGAAGGACCAAGGAACTAGAAGTTACGCTATGATGTGCACTAACACCACCACTTACTAAACAATCAGTTCATGCGATAACATTGCACGACACTGACCGACGGTACTGACGTTCTACAACCAACTGGCTATCAGCTCTAGCACATCTTGGATGCGCACTCCAACAGCCTTCCAACTTGGTGTCGCGAACCATGGACATACCCTTTACATAAACCACTCGAAGCAGACCATATTTTCCTTAGTGCCCAATTTTCTTGTGAATCAAGACTGAACTGAATATTTACAAGGGGAGAGCGATAATATAGGTGAGTCGGAGTGTATGCCTGTAGCAGTAGTGTGCCGTGAAAGTGTCTTGCGTACAGCGTCAGCAGAAATATACAAGCGATAAATATACAAACGCATCGAAATTAGCTCCCAAGGAGTAGCGAAGAATCAAAGAGAAGCAAGAAAAGCACCAAGTTGTGGAACTAAAACAGCTCCACGTGCATGTAGCTGAAAAGGTGACACATAAAGATACGCACGGTGCAACGAGTCCAACTGTGAGCATGAAAATGGATAGTGAAGGCCATCAAAGATGCCGATAGTCGTACACACAGTCCGTGTTGGATGTCGGTGCGTGTGCAAGCCAAGGTGCATGGGTTCAAACTGAATCAAAGGGTGCCCGGAACGGAAACATTAGAAATGCAACGAATTGCAAGGTGAGAAAAGGGGTGTCACAAAGGGATGCGAGTGATTGAACGTACAAATCATGCACTGAACAAGGATACATGTATACGTAGCTGTGAATTCTTGGTTATATACATGCATTGTGCTCGTGACTACGAATAAATCCGATCGCATTCGCGACACTCCCGCCCGCTGAAAGTGACTACCATAGTTATGAAATAGCATACGCGTGAGTGAACAAATACAAACCGTGAATGAAGTGTCGACAGGGAAATTTGAGTGTAAGCAGTTATTTGTATTCAGACTGAATTCGTAATTATCATGGTTTGCATTTCATCGAGCCTTCGTTTGATTTAAAACTCAATAGGTCCAACGTAATCTATGCCTGTGAATTCATACAGTAGCAACTCCATTATTCTTTCCTTGGGCAAAAGCCGGAGGGGGTTTCGGAAGTTGAAACGGGCCACCATCGTGCTGTTTACATGACAAACAGTGTTGTGGTTGTGTAAATTCTATCCATTTCGATTCCGCTCGTTGGTATTCGTCACGTGAGATGGTATTGCCAACCGATTTTTTTTGGATTTTATCAATAAATTTCTGTACGTACGCTGTGACTCTGACTAGTTTCCCGAAAGACGTGAATTGTTCCGGGTCCATGCCTGCTGGTGATCCGTCAGGACCCTCCCCCTGCACGAGAATAGCAGTGACAGGAGTATCCTCCATTGGATCGTGGCTTGTCGTTGGCAACGTAGTGAGTACATGTACTGCATCATCCGTAATTCCATGATACTCCGTACTTCCTGATGGTAAATACCCGAACGTTGATTTTACCATGTACATGCCATTCTGCAGTGCAATACTGCTGTCCATTATGAATCTGTGATAGTAGTCTACACCAATCAGTATGTCCACGTCACACTTCTCTGGTTCCTGTACAGGTGGTTCCGCAAGAGGCATGTCATGCAACTTCATATCATTTGGAAGCGGGAATCGTTGAATTGGGTGACACAGGATTGATGTGACATTTGCGCAGACCTCCGTGCAAGATTTGTCTGGTTGTTCAATTCGTAGATTGACTCTTGGCATGGTTTCGATTTTCCGTTTTTCGTTACCAAAGCTTGACACTGAGATTGTGTCCTCGCCAATCTTGTTACATTGCAGTTTGTGGCATAGGGATTCAGTGATAAAGGATCTAGTTGCTCCGGTGTCGAATAAAATCCGAGCATGGCATTCCTTGGTCCCACTTTCATTTGATACTTCTGTAGCTGCAGTTTGTAAAACCGTTTTCTTGTGATCTGAGATTGCCACTCCCATTGTTGTTTGAATTGGGGATGACACATTCCCTGTGCCAAATTTCTCTGGACAGATACTGCAATGGTGCGTTGTGCGTTTGCAGTAGTAGCATGGTTTAGTGCGCTCACATGCCCTTGCACTGTGTCCAGATTTCAGGCAAATGAAGCACCGTCCATTCAATTGATCTTTTCTGGTTTCTGCATCTGTGTACCTGGTACACTCATCAGCGAAATGCGATTGTCCGCAGTAGATGCATTTACGTTCCATTTTTATCGTGTTTGCTGCCATTGAGTGAGCTACGTGTGTCGTTGGGTTGTATGTTCGATCCCTTTGTCGTTCGTTTCCGCCGGTAGTTGCAGCTTCCGCTGCTTCCATTGCATCTACGTAGTGGTTCATTGCCTCACGTAGACTTCGCACTGTCCATTTCGTGGTAGTGCCTTTCTTTAACTCTAATTGGGACATAACCGATTTCGGTAATTTGGAGGTAATCAGTGGAATGAATAGTGCCTGTGACATGTCCTCATGTAGCGCACCTAGACTTCTGATGTTTGCCTCGACGTCATTCAAGAATTTCCGCAATGATTCAGGTCGGCTAGACGGTTTCTCCAAATCGACTAATGCCAAGTACCGAGCATTGATTACAACATGGTCTTTCCCAAACCGATCCATTAGCAAATCCCATGCAACCTTGTAATTTGAATTTGACAGGGCCAAACCAGAGATACATTCCAGCGCTTTTCCTTTCACGTGTGTTTTCAGGTAAGATAGCTTCTCCACATCAGACAAAGATTTATTTGCGTGAACAGTGGCAGTAAACATATCTTGAAATTCCTTAAATTTCATTACATCACCATCAAAAGTGAACAATTCCAGTTTAGGCAATTTGACCGTGTTACCAGTTTTATTGCTAGCATTACTCTGAGAATTCGTCAAATTTGTCATGATGCTCTGATTGCTTTGATTCATTGATACCATTTCCGACAGCAGTCTGTCGAGTTTG